AGCCTGGTCCGGTGAGAACCCGGCGTGCTCCGTCCCGGCTTTGTAGGGATGCGAGGTCAATGGTCTAACGACTACGGCATGCACGACTATGAGTACACCCCCCCCCCGTTGCATTTGCCACCAGTTTCACCAAAATACCACTAGCTCCTCTCTGGTCTATTCTTCCTGCGGCTTCGTTGTGAGGAAGGTGCGCTTGTGTGTGAGTGAAAGGCTGGGGGAGCCACACCGGCGACAGTCCCTCACTTACAAGCCCCCCCCAATAGTGCGGTTGACCTCCGCTTAGTGGGGTGACCCCACTTTCAAGGGCCCGTTCTCTGTATAAGAGGGTAGCCCAACTAGAGCGAGTCGAGTCCGTGACAACCGATTTCGACCCTCTGATATCGGAGCCCCCTCTTGTAAGGCACCCTCTAATAACGGAGCCATGACTGTACTGACACGATGGCTGCGCATGTGAGACATTGAATCGAGCCATGCCCGACGGAAAGCCACCAATACGTCTGTTCATTCGAGGTTCGACAACCCACGGGAGAATATGTCCCGCAGACCAACAACCCCACACTGACCAACAACTACATATTCCATGTAATATTTCCCCTCCGAGTCTCTCTCGCGGCTCTTCATTCACAGAATACCGAGGGTCTCTCACAGATTGTTGAACATGTCTTCTCCTATCTCAGCCACCTATCCATGTGTCCGTGAGATACGTCACAGAAGTCAGATGCTGCCGTATGTAGTTCCATCTCCTGCCCGGTATGTATGTCCGCGGGCTGTTGTACTTGAAAGTTTCGGACCCCTTTTTCACTCGGTCAGCTATATCTTCGGAACACCTGCAACCTAGAAACCTGCACCATCATCCTCGCGTCTCGGTCTTGCGAAAAGCGGCAGCCAATGCCAACGCGCTGTTCGCGCTCTGTGTCGGTACGGAGAAAAAAGCATCATGCCACAGGGGGTCGTCGCTGAACAATCCCGGTGAAACAAAACTCAAAAAAAAAAACTACAGGTACGTCGCTCCCGCTAATGCACCCTTACCACCGGTTCTGGTATGCAGTGAAAACCTTGTTCGCGACCGCTACGCATCAACCCCCGCGGCGCTCGAGCATAGCGCATACACCTACGGTCTGTGTACAACGACAACAAGGACACCAGAGCGCAACAACAGCATCCCTTTGCTGCCCACCCTGTGCTCCCAGCACTCTGAAGCCGTCCTCAGCGCCGATCACATCAACGCATACCTTACGGCATTCTATGAATCTCTTGTGCGATGTATGTGGGCACCCTCTTTTCTGTGTGCCGAAAGTTGCTCGAAACCGGTATAGTCTACAACCCAAACTTTTCGCAAGACCACGATAGAATAATCATTTCTTGGCCTTTGCTTTTGCGTTGTTGTACAGCTTGTTCTGGGCCTCCCACTCCTTCTTGACCTTCTGTTCTCGTCGTAAGAAGCAACAAAAAAAAGATATATACACAGGCACGACGGTTGGGCGCGAAAAAGACATTGGGGGGGAACGGGGGGGGGGCGCGGGCACGAGGAGCACGTGAGCAATGGGCAACTACACCCATTTCTTGCGAAGATCTGCATACGAGCGTGTACGAGAGCACGAACCGAAACTATTCCGCGTCGCCCTCTTGACGAAGTCTTCGAAACTGGTCTGCTGGGCAACATACAACGAAAGTGCACGCGTCGACAGGCGTTGCCTATCGATTTAGCATCAATTGCCTCGCAAACCGACAGAGTGGGCGAAGACAAGAAGCGCCTTTCGTGGGGGAACGGCATTACCAAACCAGCTTTTCCGCGCCCGGGCTGCAAGCCGTGATAAGAAAAAAGACGGCCTGACAGCTGCCCGCACCTCTTCCTGAGTAGGGAGAGCTCGAGAAAGTCGAAATAACTAAGAAACCGATGGCTGTACGGGGCGGATGGATTCGAGCATTTCGTGAAAGAAGAGCGTTCTTTCTTGCCTTGTCCTTGACGATCGGTTCGCCGGCAGCGTCGTGCGTGGGAACGCCGTTGTCGTCGAACTGGGTGTACAACGCCTTCCCGTCTTCGCCCTGGGCGGACGAACGAGAGGAACAACCCGGCACAAGGCGACAAGCAAATAAAAAAAGAAAACAGGACGGGAGTCAAACAACACAAAAACATGGGCGCGCACAGAGACAGCAGCCCTGTTCATACAACCATCGAGATACCTCGCTCGCCCTGGGATGATGGCGTTTCGACCAATCCATTCTATTAAGTTCGCTCGGCTCGTCAGTCCATACCAATCGGGGAGAGCTACGTGGACGAATTGCGCCACCTCCGAATGCGGCCGAATCTTAGCCGTGCTTTTCTGCTGATCAACTCCACCCAAAATACCGCCAACTTGCGTGTCGTCTCTCGAAAACAACGCCAGCCCAACCATCAGAAAACCGGCCCGTAGGCGCGCGAGGGTCACCGGGTTGCAACAACACACCACACCCGGACTGCAACGACACACCACAGAGTCTCGTGGCTATGTGGTACAGCGGGTAAGTCGCGACGCGAGAGGCACACACTGCGCAAATGAAAAACGGGAGCGTGAGAAATGATACCGTATCTCAAAAGCCTGCACAAAACAACAATCGGCACTTGGGGCTACAACGAGGGTGCTCGAGAAACAGCGCGTGATGATCACTCCGCGCCCTGGTTGTCAGAGAGACCGACGCTAACAGGCACAGGACAGCCCGAGGTGCCTCTTCTTTCTTCGCCTACAAAGCCACACTGTACCTTCAATCCCCGGAAGTATTCGCTGGCGGGGATTTTTTTCCTTGCCTCCTTTTCTGCCGCCTTCCTCTTCGTCTCTGCCTTCGCCTCCAAGCGGCGCAACTGATGCCGTTTCGGAATGAATTCACAAAAGCAAGAAGGAGCGAATGAAAGGCGGTGATTTTCCTGGGGGGCGGGGGGTGACCTGATGGGTGAGATGGTCGGAAGAATATGTTTCGTGTGTTCGCCAAAATTAGTACACTTCCAACCAAAGGTGCCAGAAACAAACGCGCAACTACTGAGTTCAACAGTGCAGCATCGACACAAATGTGGTGGAGCTCCGCTCTCTTGCCGCCTCCGTCGTCACGAGAACAAAAAGAAGAAACGCCGCGACGGTAATGTTCAGTGGAACACAATTCCGCACACCAACAGTCACACATTCTTTGTTGGCCTTGAAGAACTAGCGCACACGAATAATCCTTGGGTTCCGTATGCATGCTCGAGAGGGGCTTTCGAAGAGTTGTGGACGTTCCGCTCTCGTACCTCGACCCACTTGGCACACCGCAGAGTAAACATGACTTGAGACGTGGCCCCAACGGCAATGCACTGCCGCCAAAGACGGAAAGGGCTTCAAGAAAAAAAAAACGGGAGACCATCGACAACGGCGACAATGCTCAACTCATGGCGAGCAGTCCGCACGTCGCTTCGACGGCCCTGTGTACGGCGTAGTGGGCTATGTACCGTAGATGGGTGGCACCGGAATATTTGTACGATGCTGTCCTGCTGCCTACGCGCTCGCTGCAGGCACGCACAGCGTGAGTCAGGACAGACCTGATGCGGCAGGTTGGTGTGCAGACCATGAAAATAAGCAACAAATAAAATGCAACGCCTTGCACCATACGCAAGTCCGTCCCATTCGTAGGTCCGCAACAGGCGCAAGGCGCAGACATGGCAAGACATGAATTGGGAACAGGCCATTCATGCGCACCTGTTCTTGTTCCCGCTGCTGTCGCTCTCTTGCCAACACGGCTGGGTCCTCGAGCTTCCACACCGCCTGCAATTCCAACAGCAGTCGCGGTGTAAATTGGGACGGGACGGTGATACAAATGCCGGAATAACCATGAACAACTGCACTCAAGTACGACAGCACTGGTCGATAATTCGGGTGCAAATACCGACCGGATCACTTTTCTGTGAAACATAGTGCACCTAGAACTATCAGCGTCTGGCGAGGGGTCCGTCCCCGGAGATCCCTTCTCTCCAAAGCCATACAACCCAAGTGATCCGGTCGGGTGCTAATGAGCTGAGCGTATATCTTTTATTGCCAAATGTTAAACCATTAGACTAGTCAGCGCTGACTAGTCTAGTGGTGTAACTTTATCTTATAGGCACGGCCTCCGCGAATATCACCAAACCTGAAGACAAATAAATGGAAAACGAACCCGAACCCGCAACATCAACGGCGGGAGAGAAGACAAAGCGTCGAGAGCACCAGCGATTTTCGTGTGGTTCACGAGCACCACCGAGATAGACTACAGCCGGAAGAACAACAACATAACTCACCGGAGACTGGAGTACATTAAAAGACCCACCCATGGTATTGCGCATACTATGTGTTGATTCGGTTTCAGTCAAGGTGCGGAGGGCAGCGAACTGTGCAGCGCAACGGCGTACTTCAAAAGTACTCGTCTTGTCATCCGTCGCTTCCAAAACGCTGCCTCCTACGAACCCAGCACCAACCATCCTTACAGAGGAAGAGCAATTCGTCCCGGACGTCCTCTCGTGCAAAGCACACGAGACAAGACGACAATATCCCCAAGAGGGAGGCCACCACACCACAAACACCGCCATCACAACCACCAATAACACGGACGACAAGACAAACGAACAGACAAGCACCAGCAACGGCAGCAAAAACACAACCAAGGCAACAAAACAGAAAAGAATAGTCTACTGCAGCAGTAGAAATTGCAAACGTGGACCAAACCATCCACAACCACAACGCAAGCGTCACAGCAGTCCCAAAAAAACATCACCATGCACCTGGTCCCCCTTGTCCTCAAGTCGCACCCCGACGCCTGGCAGCAGCTCTTCTCTCACGTGGTCGCAAGCCGCCAGCACACCCTTCGTGTCCCCCGCGCGGCCGCACCCCCTGACCTTGTCGCGGAACTCCGAGAGGACGTCGAGGACCGGTCCCAGGATCGCTTCCCGAGAGGCCTCGCCCCCCTCCCCGCCGTCGTCCCCGCCGCCGCCTGCATCTCCCCCCTGGGAGAAGCCTAGCGCTGGGCCGGGAGACGCCAGCCCGAAAACCTGTGAAATACGGGGGGGGAGGAGGGGGGGGAGGGGGGTGCGTGGAGGGACAAAAAATCAAAAAAGAGGGTAGGCATTGCTCCTGGAGGGACTCCACCTGTACGCCGGTGCGGGGGGGAGGGGGAGGGTAATGCGGCCGGCCACCGGGGGGGATACCTTGGGTATGGGTATGCCCCTTGGGGGCACGCTAGTAATTTCGTCAAAATTTCTGTGCCGAAAATTCCCGCCAGTTGCACCGCTGACGAGATGGTTGAGACATTCGACCTGGCCTACCGCCACCGCCAGCACACCATCCATCTCTGGTGGCACGGTCTGGTGAAGTTCCCGTACCCACTTGTCAGCTTGACGAGAAGTACATGGCCTTGCCGGTATGGCGCGGAGCTTGTTGGTGAGCACAAGAGCACGTGGGAGTTTCGTTCCGGGGGCAGCGGCGGGAGCCCCATCTGAGAAACATCCTCTACCGCAGGTGGCACAAGATAACCACACCCGCTGGGCTGATTTTCAAATCTCTTCAAAGGCCGGCTAGCCCACGAAGAAAAGGGTGTCAGAAACCGATCGGTTGCTATGTTTTCATGAAGATCTCGTCGAGACGGCGGTTCCAACGCCGCCATTTTCGGGACTACCGTGGAGTAATCGAGCTTTGAAAACCGGTCCAGGGGGTGTGGTATCTTGCGCCATGTCACCTACGGTACCCGGGTCACTCCGCGGCAGATGCGTGGAGGACGGTGGAAGATTGGATTTTGTCCAGCCGCCCTGCATATCTTCAGCTGCTTGTTGCAGAGGTGGAGGACGGCATACTGCCAGACGAAAAAAGACCCGAAGCTCTTCTTCCCGCGGGTCGCCCAAATTGAGACAAAGTTGCGTGTTACTGGCCTTGTCAAGAGCGAGCGAGTACGATGTTGTGCAGATTCGAATCTGTAAAAGCTGTAGGGTCCTTGTCGTCCTGGATGATGCTGTCTTCCAACTCTGCAACTCTGCGAAAAAAAAAAAATCTCATGTCGCCCCACATTTATCTGCAACGGGAGCGCCCACCGGCAAGGCGCAAGCTACGGCGGTGTGTTCCATGCCGCATCATGTGATGCTCGTCTCATAGTCAAAGGGTTCTACCGACCAGGGGGGACGCAGGGGTTGGACAACAGAGTCCTCCTCAAATGTGAGGATTACACTCAATCCCATCAGGCTGTGTGTGCGGTTACTATCATCGACGTCGAACTGTGTGTGTCTGAGCACCTGCAGGAAAACGGGGTAGGAGATTGATTTGGGAGGGAAACACCCAAAGTGCAATGCTTCTTGGTTGCCAATGGAAGGGGATGGGGACAACAACAACAACAACAACAACAGCAACAACAGCACGGGGGTCGGTGTAATGTACAGGGGGGGGTGGTGAGAGCGCTCATCGCCACCACGCATCGAGGGCATCGCCCTTCCCACGGCCACGTCTCTGCCACCCCGCAGACAACACCCTACCTTACACAAAGCGAGCGATAGGCTGCCGCCTATGCATGACGTAGATGGTACGTCTGCAAAACAAGCGCCTTCAACGGTTTCTCGCAAGACGCTTCAACGCATTGAGGCCTAACCTTGAAGATCTTGGTAACGTACTCGGCAGCCCCTCGCACACAGTCCGCGACGATCGGCTCTCCCGCCCTCTCCTTCGCCTCGATGTACTGCAGCAGCACCCCAAGGGTCAGGGCCACAAATAAGAAAGATAGACGGGGTATCAGACGAAATCCATTCGAGGGGGTGAAGGTGCAAAATCCAGCCCGGTTGAGAAAAGACCTTCACCGCACGTTCGCAACACTTCGCGGTCCACGCCTACGACAACGGGGACGGTTGGTGCAAGAGCGGCCTGCTTAAGGACAGACCTGCACTGCCAAACACGCAATACTTACGGTGCACACCGACAACCGTCGAAAGACCGTCACTTCCCTTCACGCAACAGTTCAACGGTCCACACCTACATCAATACAATAACCACGCTCCTTCACCTTGTTGACCTTCTTCACAAGCTCCTGCAGCGCTCCCATGGCCCCCGGCGTGTCGAAGTCGTCGCACAGGCACTTCTTCACCTCCTTCTTGGCGTCCGAAAGGCTCGACATGAGCGTGAGCTCCGGCTCTTTCGTGCGGGCGGGGTCCTGGACACACGGAAAGGGCAAAAAACAGGCGGGGGGGGGGGGGGGGGGGGG